CACAGTATACTTAGTATACACAGTATACTTAGTATACACAGTATACTGTGCTGGAAGTATACAAAGGACACAAAATACAGTTCTTGATCTCAAGGAGCTCACAAGCTATCAGGGAAACAACTTGAAATTAATTATGACTGGACAAGATATATACAGAGTAAAGTAGAGATAACAGGGAGAAGGCCCTTGCATTGAGGGAGATTGGGAAAGGCTTCTTATTGAAGATGGCATTTTGACTAGACATTGAAGGAATTAAGGGGAGGAAGTAAGTGTCAGAAGACTGGAAATGTGGAGGAGGAAGGTTATAAGGGATTTTAAGTACCAAAAAGACGATATTGTATTTGATTGGGGAGGTGATAGGGAGGCACTGGAGATAATTAAGTAGGGGGAGATGGTAAGATGGTCAGACTTGTGCTTTAGGAAGATCTCTTTGGTCACTGAGTGGAGGGTGAACTAAAGTGAGGAGAAACTTGTGACAGAAACCCCAAACAGCAGGCTATTCTAATAGTCTAGCTATGAGGAAGCTAGATGACCCAGTGTATAAGAGCGCTGGGCCTGGAGTTCAAGGAAGACCTGAGTTCAGATTTGGCCTCAGACACTTACTTCCTCTATCACCCTGGGTAAGTCATTCAACTTCTGCTTGCCTCTGGAAAAGGAAATGGCAAACCCCTCCAAATCCTTGCCAAGAAAAACCCACAGTATTGGTGTGTGATATGGTCCAGGGGGTCACAAAGAGACAGACACAAGTGAACAGCAACAGCCATGAGGAGATAAAGGCCTGCACTAGGGTGATGGCAGTGTCAGAGGAAAGAAGGGGCCATGTCTGAGAGACATTACAAAGGTACAATCAACAAGACTTGACAATAAATTGGATAAGGGGAGTGACAGTGAGGAGTTGAGTTTGACACCTATTTTTCAACCCTGGATGAATGAGAGGATAGTGGTATCCTCCATAGTAATAGGGAAAGTAGGACGAGAGAAGGGTTTGGGAAGAAAAATAATGAACTCCACTTGGAATATATTAAATTTAATATGTCTACAGGATGTCTAATGTGAGATGTGAAGAAATTGAGAGGACTGGAACAGAAAGTGGTGGTGGGAACAACAAGTCTGCCTTGTGAATCAAGTTTTGAATCTAGCTCAGTTCCCTTTCTATTTAGTTATGGGTCTAGTCCAATTTCTGTGTGAGAAAACTTCATTCAATTATGGAAATTGAGAGAAAACCTTATTTCATTGTTTGAACCTAGCCCTGTGTGGTTGGACCATCTCTACCTATTGCTAAGAGATCCTCAACTAAGGACCTAGGTTACACTGACTAGAAATCTGATCAAATCTAAAGATTGATGCAAGAAGTTTTCTCACATCTCAAGCAACCCATATGTCTTATCTGAAAACTAGCCTCATACTAATTAATTAGTTATTGTTTTCATGTTCCTTTGATTGTTCACAGACACTTGGGGGGAGTGGGACACCTCTTTTTCTAATTTCAAGGAATTGTACCTGTTCATTCTCCTCCTCCCAACATGGAAAGTCCCTAATCTTTCTTCCAGTTAGAAATCAGATTACCTAATGTTGTATCCTGGTTAATGGTTTCCTTATAACTAATTGGCCTAATGTGATTAATTGTTTTTAACATAAATATCTGTCTCTGTTTTTGGGGTGCAGTCTTAAGCTGAGGAAGGGGTCTCATCTCCATTTGTTAGGCAATTGGCATGCATTGCTAAATCAAAATTCTAGGCAGTTCAAATCTTTGTTTCCTCAGTCATTTCATCTTTTTTATTTTTATTTAATCAATTTATTTTTAGTTTTCAACAATCACTTCCATAAGCTTTTGAGTTTTAAATTTTCTCCCCCTTTCTCTCCACTTCCGTCCCCAAGACAGCATGCAATCTGATATAGGCTCTACATATACATTCCTATTAAACATATTTTCTCATGTCATATTTTAAGAAGAATTAGAACCCATAGGAGGGACCATAAGAAAGAAGAAACAAAACAAAACTGAAGGGAAAAAAAGAGCAAATATTATGCTTCAATCTGCATTCAAACTCCATAGTTCTTTCTCTGGATGTGGATAGCATTTTCTATCATGAGACTTTTGGAGATATCATAGATCCTTGCATTGCTGAGAAGAGCTAAGCATATCAAAGTTAGTCATCACACAATGTGACTGTTACTGGGTTCAACATTCTCCTTGTTCTGCTAACTTCACTCAGCATTGATTCATATAAGTCTTTCCAGGTTTTTCTGAAGTCTGCTTGCTCATCATTTCTTATAGCACAATAGTATTCCATTACATTCATATACTACAACTTGTTCAGCCATTCTCCAATTGATGGGCATCCCCTTAATTTCCAATTCTTTGCCACCACAGAAAGAGCTGCTATAAATATTTTTGTACATGTGGGTTCTTTTCCCATTTGTATGATCTCTTTGGGATACAGCCCTAGAAGTGATATTGCTGGGTCAAAGGATATGCACATTTTTATAGCCCTTTGGACATAGTTCCAAATTGCTCTCCAAAATGGTTGGATCATTTCACAACTCCACCAACAATGCATTCATGTTCCAATTTTACCACATCTTCTCCAACATTTATCATTTTCCTGTTTTGTCATGTTGGACAATCTGATAGGTATGATGTGGTACCTCAAAGTTGTTTTGATTTGCATTTCTCTAATCAATAGTGATTTAGAGCATTTTTTCATGTAACTATAGATGGCTTTAATTTCTTCATCTGAAAACTGCCTGTGCATATCCTTTGACCATTTATCAATTGGAAAATGACTTGTATTCTTATAAATTTGACTTAGTTCTCTATATAGTTTAGAAATGAGGCCCTCATCAGAGATACTGGTTGTAAAAATTCTTTCCCAGTTTTCTGCTTCCCTCCTAATCTTGGTTGCATTGGCTTTGTTTGTGCAAAAACTTTTCAATTTAATGTAATCAAAATTATCCATTTTGCATCTCATAATGTTCTCTATCTCTTGTTTGGTCATAAATTCTTTTGTTCTCCATAGATCTGA